TATCTCTGGCAATCTGTTGGCTATCTATCGCTGTACGCTGTTACACCTATTATTCGTATTCATACCGCACTTATCGTCGTTATAATATTTCTCTCTTTGGGTATCTCTGGTTATGGTTTCATCGAGTATCGCATCAGAAAAAGAGCAAAGCGGAAGAAGAGCAGTGATCAAATAACAAGATTTTAAAATGAAATTTGATCAACACCGTATATCAACCAGATCAAATGTGACGCAAAGACATCTAAGAGAAATCATCTCACTTATTTGACGGTTAATAGTCATTGAAAATTGAAATATTTGTTTCCGTCATTAATAAAAAAGTAACGATCCTCACCAGAATTTGTTTGACCTTCAACTGAATTCAATACTATAAACATCTGTTATTAGTTGCTGTATTTTGCTTTGAGAATTATCGTACAACGTGTGCACATACAGAAATTCATCGATAATAACGGGTGAGCTATAATAAATTGCACTAAATGCTTTTGCTTTTTTCGTTCATTTCCTGTTCAGGAAATATATACATTTTTATATTAAAAGATAGAGAATTTCAAGCTCGATAAAAGTGCTTACTTTGTTTTTCAAATATGTTTTTCTTGTTGGCGCCTAATTGACAAGACTCACACTTACGTAATCATTCAACTGCGACTGTAGAAAAAATATAGAAAACTTTTAAATAATGGTCCAGCTGCAATTTAAACTATGCTACAAAATTTTTCGTAAAATTCCACATCTGTGATTGCATGTTTCAAAATTTTAGAGAAGATATTTGAAAGAAACAGTTTTGAAGGAAACTATGTGCAAACAACGAAAAAGGCCTTTTCTGATAAATCTCAACTATAGTTCTTTTTTTAATTCGAAATAACCTAAGTTTTTTCACTGTTCAGTTTACCAAGTACACCATTTTATTCAGAATTGAATTCTACATCCGATGGCATAATAATAAATTTTTCATAGAACAAATCTAGCTTTTGACAATACGATTTCCCAAAATATACCCTAAGTCAATGATAGGTCTCAGTTTCGAGTTCTTTTCTCGTGAGTAATAGCGCCAGAAACCTTAAAAAGGTCATGAAAGGACAGACCACAAAATTCTCTATCTATTGGTGTTAAATACTGTATTTTTAGCATTGGTCTTAATGAGCAAAAGCTTGCTCCAATTGATAATTGGCAGTAGAAAATAGAAAATCGCAGTTGAGTGATTATGTAGGTGTGAATCTTGTTAATTAGGCGCCAACAAGAAAAACATATTTGAAAAATAAAATAGACAGTTTTGTAGAGCTTGAAATTCTCTATCTTTTAATGTAAAAATGAATATGTTTCTTGAATAGGCAACGAACGAAACAAAGCAGAAAAATTTAGTGCAATTTATTATGGTCCACCCATTATCTTAGTGGCAACCATTTTTTAAAATCATTGAATCTTTCTAATTTCTGTTCAGACTTTCTAAAATGAACGTCAGCAAATAGCTCGCAGTCCGTGATCACGATTGAATTAAACTCACACTTCAGTCTCCTTAGGACGTAGTCCGACGGTTTTCGTTTTTCTTCATAAATATTTAATTTTACCTAGAGCCATCTCTATTTCCAGATTCTATAATTTCATGTTGAATGTGACTTCGTCGTTCAAAGTAGAACTAAATTGGATTTCCTGTAAAATCTGTATTCTGTTGAAATCGCTTCTTAACTAAAACGCTAGGAGCGGCTCTAAACAATCCTGTATTTCTTACTCATCATCCCTGAACGCAAGTCTAAAAGAAGTCCGCCTGACAAAATCTACAGGCCTGTAGAGACCCATATTTCACGGATTTACTATTTTGAAAATGTTCTCTACAGTTCATCTTTGTTCAGAAAAAATGAAGATTTTACATATTTTTTGATCCATGCAGAAAATATCAACCTCATTCGATGAATCTCTAATCATAGTTCAAGAGAGAATGCCAATAATGTTAAACATTGATTAGAGAAGATAATAATCCACTAGGTTAAGTAACAGATTGTGAGCCAGCAATTCAAGTGTCTCGTTTTATTGGAGTCTCACAGTACATCTTACTAGTAAATGAACAGTACAGGAGCTACCAGAGATGCGGCGATACGGGTACAACTTGTACTCGCCTAGAATATGTGTCTATCTTTGATAATCACCGTCTACTCACAAGTATTAACACATATTACTGTGTACTCGTATCAATTGGCCTGTACTAGTATCTGTTGGCATGTATTCATAGAAACAAAATATATACCCTTGAAAAATCTAGAATTGTAATATTCATGTACTCGAGAGAGGTGTGTGTTAGTCCTTCCATGGCATCCACATTTGCTGAAATACATGCATCGTCTTACTCTCTCTCGTTTCGTTGTACCCAAACGCCAAACGATGCGTCTATGCCTTCCATCGTGTTTATCATTCTAGGAATGCAGATGAAAGTTGGGCACGTGTTTTAACATCGAACGTCACTCGTGAGTAGAAATTTCGTAGGTCATTTCAATGGCAATTTCTTGTGTCACAGGTGTGAATACATTTCATGGATCGATACTTTCTGAGATTTTCTTGTATTAATGTCTTGTGATCACTACAGTTGTACCGACTATGGCATACTAAAACATACTAGTAGATATGAGTGCATGAAAGCTATATTTCTAGGTTTTCTATGAGTATATATTTTGTTGATACCTGTACATACAAGTACATGAATTCTAGAATTCTAGGTTTTCCAAGGGTATACATATTGTTCGGACGAATACAAGCCAACAGATACTACTATCGGAATTTTAAAAGAAGGCACCTGGAAAAAAGCTTATAACTTTCGAATGAAAAGTTATAGCGACCTGCGGTTTTCAGCAATCAATAGAAGATTATAGGGGGCACATTTTTATATAAAAATCAAGGTTTAAATAATTGGTGATTGTAGAATCACTGAAAGAGTAGGCTCGTTATTTGGTGGAATCTCAGCAGAACAAGCTGAAACTTTCAGCATATATAGCCCCACTGTACTCCAATCTTCGCTGAAAATATCATCGATAAATCTTGTAATGACGAGAAATGGTGAGCCAATCATCATCTGACCTTACATAAGACTCTCATTCACTCAAAATATTAGGAAATGGCCTTAACTTTTGGCTGAATAAATACCATAATCTAGACTTCATATTTATGCAATAGCATCGCACTTTGATCGTAAAAATGAACGGAAATAGCCAAAATTCGACGAGGAAATGATTTTCATACAGTAAGTATTTTAAAACAAATCTTTCCAACTTTCTTAAGAGAAATGCAGAATTTAGTAATATTTTCACCGTCTCTTCTCGTTCATTTAATCAAACTATGATATAATTGCATAGATATGAAATCTAGATTATGGTATTTATTCAGCCAAAAGTTGAGGCCATTTCCTAATATTTTGAGTGAATGAGTGCCTTATGTAAGGTCAAATGATGATTGGCTCACCATTTCTCGTCATTACAAGATTTATCGATGATATTTTCAGCGAAGCTTGGGGTACAGTGGAGCTATATATGCTGAAAGTTTCAGCTTGTTCTGCTGAGATTTCACCAAATAACGAGCCTACTCTTTCAGTGATTCCACAATCATCGATGATTTAAACCTTGATTTTTATATAAAAATATGCCCCCTATAATCTTCTATCGATTGCTGAAAATCGCAGGTCGCTATGACTTTTCGTTCGAAAGTTATAAGCTTTTTTTCCAGGTGCCTTCTTTTAAAATTCCGATAGTAGTACAGGCTAATTGATACGAGTATTAATTTCAATTTAAATAAAAATATGAGCTCTTTGCAATTTATGTTTCAAAAAGTTAAAGCTGCATTAAATTTCGTGACATTTTTTCTTGTAGAGAAATTATTTTTTCAAAAAAAAACAAACGCATGTGAGGAAAGTGACCCTTTTTATGAAGAAATGTTTTTTTTAAAAAAACAATTGTCTTTTGAAAAAAATACTATTTTGTTTTAAAATTAAAATACGACGACAATCTTGATATGTACAAGTTTTACGAGAAGAGAGCAGAAGGTCGAAGGCTAAAAAGATCAACTGAAAGCTGCTTTTGAATTCGACCAGAATTGGTAGATTACAGTGATATTTTTACAAATAGTAAGGAAAAAAATGAATAAAACACTTAAAATTCTTTGTTAAGGAGTCAAGGTTAGGGTAATTGGGATGTGAGTCTTTCTTCCAGTAAGAAAGCTCTGATAAATTCATGTCAAATATGTCTTTTTTTAAAATCCAATTTTAATAATCAACACTTTGCAAACTTTGTGATGCTTTGTTTTAAAAACAGAGCGTTATTTTTCACTTCAACGACAAAAATAAAATTCCATTTGATTTTTTTATTCTAGATTTCTATTGGAAACTCCTTTACGTGTCACCTTGTTTTTGTTTTTTATCTCTTTCTAGGAAACACCTCTGGCACCATCTAAATCAAAACCACGACCATCTACATGTTTTTAAAAAAACTATGGATCGAAAATGAAGTACAATAAAACAAGCCATAATTCTTTTCATATTTTTTTCTATGATTGTATTTATTTGTTAATTCTTTGTTGGTCGTAAAATTGATTTTAAAATAAATTTAACGATCAAAACGATCATCAATATACAGAAAACAGATTTGATTCATATAAAAGAAAGTACAACAAAACAAACTCGGATGCAATAAAATTAAATTAAAGAATTCATTTTATGAAGCTATCATTTTGTATTGTATTACCATTCCATGCTGAAGCCATTAAAGACTATCTTTTTTTCGATTGGTGAGATTATATCGATTATTTCTCTGACACAATCACTTTTTTAGAAAAAACTAAAACCACAGCTCGATAGAGAATTTTTTCTTCTATCTTCTATTATTGACAAAAATCTCGGTCTATTTAATTTTCTAAGAGGTCGCCACACGTAGTGCATTTGATATTGATTCGCTTAAAATGCTGTGCTTTTTTCGCTCTGTCGGCATACTAATTATCAATTATATTTCTAGAACATCAATGTCATGGATGAAGCAATAGACGATAATAAAATCGAATCTCAACCACCAATAATACATGATGTTGAAGATTCTATTGCATCTCGTACGAAAGAAATAACACAACGAGCAAAACGTGAACGTAGTTCAAATAAAGAATACTATTAATAATGACAATATTTTTATTATTATGATTTTATTTAGCTATTCAAATTCTACCACCAGCACCTAAAATAAAAAAAGGTCAAAGAGGTAGCACCTAAATCACCAGATAAAACAAAGTGGACTTCGAATTGTATGATGATATTTATTTATAAATCTGTATTGGTTTGTTTTTTGTTTTCATCTTTGTTAGTATGGGAAAATTTTCGAAGCATTCGGTTAATTCTATAATACATGACGTTGTCTTGTAAATCCTGAAGCACAACAACGTATATTTGGTCCAATACGTCGTTTTTATTATCGCACATTTCGTACAGTTTCAAAACTATGTACATTTACTGAAGGTTAATATTCATTTTTTTTATCCTTCTTTTATTAGAAGAAAAATCTAATGTTGATTCACTTGAATTATGTTCTATTCTTGCGTATTGATGTTTAAAACCAAACGTTCGATGTAAATTCTCGAAAGAGAAAAAAGAAATTTTTTCATCAAATAATTTCCTTTTTATTTAAATAGGTTTTGATAAAAAACCAACAATATTTGTTTTACATCAACTTATTCGTAATGGTAATGCATTTTTACGTGTAAAAGGATAACGAGAACATGTATCAATTATTAGTAAACCGTTAAAACCACCAAAAATAACAAATACAATTGGTATAAAGAAAGAAATTCTTTCAAAAAGAAACAAAAAAAAGAAAGACTTGAAACATTTAGGTTCATCAAAACAAGCTGATCGTACATTATCAAAACATGTTAAAATGTTATTAAGTCCGTTATCAGAAAATGCATATATGCGTGTTGGATTATCATATCGATATCGGCATGTTGGAATATTATTATCATGTTCAACAACAAATTTATGAATTAATCGATAAATTAACTCAATGTTGGCAATTAAATAATCATGCACAATATGTCAGTTTATTTCATATATATAAATAATTTATTTATTAGATTTTATTCTAGTTATTTAAAGATGATTTATCAACAGAACAATTTATTTTATTTCCTCATGGATTGTATTTAAGATTAACTGATTCTCTCGTTGTAACAAATGATTCAACTTCAATACTTGATCTTTCTTCACGAAAACAACCACGTTCATGATCAGATTCTGAATATTCAATACAACCATTAACAGATTCATCTTTAAATGTAATTCGTAAACGAAATAATTTATCTGAAACTGAAGTTAATAATGAATCAATAGGAATTAATAATTCATCTGTATCTCTACTAGCAACAACAACAATAAGTACAAATAAATCAAATTTAGCACGATTAGGTATTTTATTAGCAGGAAAACAAGCGGCTTGTAATAATAATAATGCGAATAATTATGATGGATCAACTTTTACACTTATTGATAGTACAGAAGATGAAGCAGATAGCAATATTAGTTTATTTAAACAATGATTTGATGCTGTTGATCTTACAGATAAGATAAATTTATTCATAATCCATCAGATTTTATATTCAAACTTCGAATAAACGGGCTAAAGTCTTTACGATGTATTATCAAGAACAGCAGTCTAATCTCGAATAAATTCAAAAAAATTCCTAGTTATTTTTCTACTATTAAATGTTACTCTATATATGTCATTTCTTGGACTCAAACGATACTCTATTCTACTCATACTAGCCTACTGATAAGTAGAACTCTCAAAAAAAAGTCATAAACCAACTATTTCTTTATGCTAATTGTAATTATATCTTTGAAACTTTCTGCAAAAGCTTCTATAAATCTGCGATAATAGGTCTAAGTGTCTGGAAGATCTAACGAGGGAACGTCCTCAGCTGTCAAAGCACTTTTTGCTTGAAGCTATTACCATTCGATTGGTCTTGGTGAGTAGTGAAAAAGTCTGTTTTGGCTTGGTTTTTCGGTCTTCTATTGTCGACTTATGAGCGTTTTACTCGATTTTTGGGCTATGAGCATAGGATCTCTGAGAACCTGATTGATCAAGTTTTGAGCTGAAATTCCGTCCAAACATAGGTGTTATAGTCACTAGAAACCCTCGAAAGTTTGAGTCAGAACGAACGCATTCTTACCGACATATCAGCTTGTCATTGAAATGTCCTTGTTTTGAAGCACAGCCCAAAACAAGTGTTTCTTTAAAATGTGAATATCTCGGTTAGAATGCGTTCGTTCTGGCTCAAACTTTGGAGGATTTCTAGTGACTATAAAACCTATATTTGAACGAAATTTCAGCTCAAAACACGATCATTCAGGTTCTCAGAGATCCTATGCTCATAGCTCAAAAATCGAGTAAAATGCTCATAAATCCACAATAGAAGACTGGAAAACCAAACCAAAACAGACTTTTTCACTACTCACAGACAACAATTGAATGGTAATAGTTTCAAGCGAAAAGCGATTTGACAGTTGGGGACGTTCTCTCTTGAGCTTTAGAACAGATCTCTTTTGTCAACCCTGCGAGGGCATGACAGTGTATGTAAAAGTTTGGATTTATATCTAGTCAGCGATGGCGAAGGAGTGACTCAGAAAATATCCAAGTCAGAATTGATGCTATGCCGAATTAGACATAGAAATGGATCACACAAAACAAAACGGCGATTCAGTTCTGGCATAATTTTTTGCTCATTCATTACTTGAGTAAGTTTTTATTTGTGGAAAAATTAATTTAAATTAATTAATTTTTTTTATCAATAAAATCAGATTTTTATAATTTTTTGTAGAAAAACATTTTTAGAATTAATAATTTTTTATCACAAATCAATGTTTAATGATTTGTGACGAAAATCACATCCAATGATGGATTATTGTTTTACATGACAGGTATACAAGTGTTTTTGTAGAAACGATCTCATTTTTCTAATTGTCACTTCTTGTTTTTTCATTAGAGATGGACGAAATAACAGTCACTTACTATCACTGTGAGTGACTACTATTTCGTTCATCCCCATCGAGCGCAAGATTGCTCTGGAAAATTGAAAGCTTTCTCGGCGATGTAACATTTGTCAGACAAGTCAACTAAGGAGGAGATGACTGTGGGTCCCACTCGTAGTTTGTATTAAGTTATATATCAGATTGTGGAGCTCGATGAGCATAGTCCATTCAGTAAAGCGTTTTTCTTCATACCTAACCGGTCTTGCGCTCTCATTGTTTTACTAGATTTCCGACCTAATGGGAAGACATACATACAAAAATCAAATGCTGGAATTTTGATCTGAAATTTTGCGCAAAAGATAGATCTAATGACCCTTGGAATACCTCCAAAGTGTCACTCCAAACGAATGTTCTCTTCACAAGATACTGGATTTTCAAGAAATTCCGATTTTTTAATAACAGTTTGCAAAATATAAGCTTTATTTGAAAACCGAATATCTTGTGAAGAGAATATTTATTTGGACTGAAACTTTGAAGCTATTCTGAGGATCATTAGATCTATCTTTTGCGCAAAATTTCAGATCGAAATTTCAACATTTGATTTTTGTATGTATGTCTTGCCATAAGGTCGAAAATCCAATAAAACGATGAGAACTCGAGAATGGCTAGGTGTGGAGAAGAATGCTTTACAGAATGAACTGTGCTCATCGAGCTCCACAATCCGGTATATATCTTAATAGAAAGTACGCGTAGCACCTGGGGTCGTCTCGTAAGAGAAGCGAAGGTTTTCTTTTTTAATTCTGTGTGGAAACTTAGGACGGTTCAATGAAGCTTCGAAGAGTTGAACCAAATATGTCTCGTTGAAGCACCTATAGCAAATTATTTTATGACTTTACTACTAGAAATAGGAATTAGTGTATCTGATAGCTCAGCGAAGACAAGATCAGAACACACAATTTTGACACTAGTAAAGTTGTTTGTATCAATGATGAGCGTTAGACCGTGCTTCATTTATAAATGGTCAACATAGAAAATAGGTTCATCGGAACGGGTCTGTTTCTATATTGCCCGAACGATGCCCACTTACATAGTATTATTCCGCGTCTCAAAGATAGTACCGCTATCATCGAGATATTTTATGTCCTATATTGAAAAATCGCGTTTTGTTTTTGATTACAACAAGAAATTAAGGGGTATAATCTGATTCATTTGGTTAAAAATAAATTAATTTAAATCATTTTTTTCAGAAATTATTCAAAAATTAATCAAAATACTTCGATTCTTATCAAAGCAACCATCAAAGTATTAGAAAGGAAAAAAGCTAACCATTGAAAAATTTACTGTCAATCAATTTTTCAGATTTCCGGGTTTTTCGGTATAATGCAATAACACTATTGTAAGCATAGTTTTCTCTTTATCGCACGACTCTAGTATGTGTCATAAGAGGCTCGTGGCGTTCGAGCTGCGATTTTGGCTTGGAAAGGACTGATCTCTGGACATCGTCTAAAGTCATTTCGTCTTTTAAGTTCTAGTGTGTAAATTTCAACTGCGTAGTTTCTTTTGTTATTGGACACGAAGAAAAAGAATCTCTAGTTCACATTGTCATAGTTTGTCCGAATCTAGAACGATCGAAATGTGAATATTGTCACCAACTTTTGAGAAGAAATTTTTCTCTTCTACTCCTCGAAAAAAATTGATGAAACAAAATAAAATTTTCTTTTTTTCACTACGACACTTATTTTAGATAAGAACAATTTATGACGATGGCTGCCGAAGTCCTCATGTCTCTTCAATCATCATCGGCAACAATCACAACAAGAAACGAGATGCAAGCTATGGCCTTTCCATCATTTGATTTTCATATGTTTGATGATGGTCAATTCAATCTTTTGATCAATTGTTTAGAGATTAACGGTAGCTCTTTTTCTTCTGTCAGTTCTTCTCATACGAATAAGGAAAAGGTCAACAATGGAAAATAAGAGTGACAGAGTTTCATTTCTTCATTCGTTATCTTCTCATAGAAGGATAGACAAAGAGAAATTTGTTTTCGAACGTATGATGATTACCATACGTGCGTAATTTAAACTTTGAATTTAAAAAAATGATCGAACAATATTGCGCTTTCTCAACATGCATAACTTTCAAGAGACATTCTTTAGAAAAACTTGAACAATTCATTTATCACTGAACAAACATGAAAATGTGCCAGAGAAAGTTTTTGAGTGTAATGAAGTAAGCTATTTCTCGTCATGCAAGAAAAGCCCATTTCAACCAAGTATTATTCACACTAGAGGATTCACTTTTCTCGCGATATACTTCAACACTCATTATCAATCATGTTCCAGAAAAATGCGAGTTTTTTCAATATGGAGATTCTCAATGAATTCCAAATTTACAAAATACAAAAATAAAAAACTCAAAAGTCATAAGAGCAAATATCTAAAAATAGTTTAAAAAATCTCATAGTTGAAAAATACAGAAATTTCAAAGATCTGATAATTCAAGAAAAAATCCAAAAAGAAAAAAACTAAACAAATAAATGTTAAGTAAAATTCTTAAAGCGAATAGCAATCTAACACTTTCTCATTCCTCTCTGTCTAAAATATCGGATTATCTTTGCAATTGTGTCAAGCATACTACACATAAACAGAGAAACAGTCACTAAGACCAAAAAAATGAGTTTCAATTCATTTATTACGCAAATTAAAATGAATTGAAAAAATCCACATCGCACCTTCAGATAGATAGTAAAGATGTGGGTGTGGGGGTGGGGGTGGGGGTGTGGAGGCGTGGGTGTGGGGTGTGGGGTGTGAGTGCGGATGTAGGATGTGGCTGTATGGGTGTGGCTGTGAATGCGTATATATTCTTTAAGCACACCCACACCCTCACATCCACACCCAAATCCTTTTAAAGATTTTATTAGAGTATTATGTAGTATCTATAGACAAAAAAAATCATTGCAATCAGAATGAAGCTACTGAAGAGATATCTCTATTGCGTTCTTTTGAACACATTTTATTTCAACAATTATATTTTTTTTTGAAAGAATGAGATGCAAGCGATGGTGTTTTTTTTGTTGTTGAAAGAATAGTAATTGATCGTGATCAATGTTTTCATTTATGCTAACACATTTTACATCGTTTTGTTATCGATGTTTTGTGCCATCGAACAATTTATGCATAATGGATGTCTTACTTTCTTTGTTTTTTTTGCTGTAACCATTCAAACATGTATACTCTTGTAAATCAATTTAAGAAATCTCATCTTGTACAAAAAAAAGCTGTAGGCGAGATAAAAACAACAACAACAATCGATGCGCTTTTGCCGATGACAAAAATGTCATTAGCACGTCACTTTGAATTTAAACGAAAAGCATTAGTTGCTCATTGGTGAATTCTTTATTTTTCATCTTATTCATTTTTTTTAAAGCATAGCAACAACAGTCGTCTGAAATTTGGAACATTGAGTTTAATAAACTTTCGCATTACAAATGGCCTCATATGAAGAGTATTATGTTAATTTAGATAATGTCAGACAGATTCGATCAAGGAAGTGAGTGACTTTCATT